CCCTAGAAACAACCCCCCTCTTCTGCTACCTTCGAATAAAGTCCAAATTCCGGAGCCCCCTCTCCTCTTCTCCTTCTTTACCTTCTGCAGCCCAGAGGCTTCCTGAATTGTGTGAGTTTCATTCACTTGCTCTCAGGGTGATATACATGCTTGGATTTTATTTACTTTTGTTGGTTTTGCAATTTATGAAAAGAGTGTCAGACTGTATATGGTCCCTGGGACTTGATTTTTTCACCACCTGATACCCACACCAGGTATCAGGTTCACCTGCATTATTCCAGCATTTCTGCGACTATAAGCAGTGCCGTCTGAGATGAACATCCTTGGGCTGCACAGGTCTCAGGGTGTACCTCTCAGAATCCTGGGGGCGGGGTGGCTAGGACGGTGTGCCGGGGTCCATCTACACGGAGAAATGACAAACTGTGTCTCCAGGCCGCTTGAACCAATTGGCACTCCTACCAGCAGTTTTGAGAGCTCCTCGCCCAATTTTCTTTTTTTTTTTTTTAAGATTTTATTTATTTATTTGACAGAGAGAGACACAGCGAGAGAGGGAACACAAGCAGGGGAAGCAGGCTCCCTGCTGAGCGTGGAGTCCAACCCGGGGCTCCTTCCCCCGACCCCTGAGATCAGGAACTGAGCCGAAACCAAGAGTCCAACCCTTAACCAACTGCTCAATCAAGGAACCCCCGTTTGTTTGTTTTTTAAATAGGCTCCACGCCCAAAGTGGGGCTTGAACTCACGACCCTGAGATCAAGAGTCCCATGCTCTACCCACTGAGCCAGTCAGGCGCCCCTAGTCCTGCTCAGTTTCTTTTTTCTCCTTCCTTAACCTTTTAAAAAGCTTTTTATGTGTGTGTTTTCCTATCCTACCCTTTCCTCTCTATTGAAATGAAATGTATACATTCCAGTTTTATTTTTTTTAGTTGTTATCTTTTAACTTTTACCATGCACATTTAATTAACAATGTCTAATGTTAAACAATATGTTTACCCACCCCAATTCCTCCCAAGTGCAAGGGAGGAATGTTTAGAACGCGTTACCTCGGCCCCGCCCCCCCCCACGCATATACTATTGTTGTCCAACATTTCAGACCCGGTTTTCCTCAACATCAGAAATAAGTCATTATTCTTTTACACAGATGGTTTTTGAATGGACGTTACCTACATTTACCATTCTATAGGTTCACCATCCCTTCTTGCATCTCAGGCTGACTTTCTGGAATTATTTTCCTTCTTGAAGCACCATCCTAGGAAAGTTTCTTTGGATGCACTCTCAGCTTCTGGTTGCCTATAAATGTAAAAATAGATGCTTTTTTCTTTTGTTTCAATTTTCGTTCTTTAAAAGTACTTTTGCTGGACCTCTTTCTGAGTTGACGTTCGTTTTTACTCTTACTACTTTTCAGAGATCATTGCAGCCTTTTAGCTTCTGTTGTGGTTGCGGGGAAGGCGGCTCGAGTTCCATCACCCCTTTCTGGATGATTTGCCCTTTCTCTCTGACGGCCTTCAACATTTCTCTGCCTTTGGCACTCTGTGGTTCCAACAAAATGTCTGTAACGCCTGCCTTTCTTTCTGTTTATTATGCTTCAGATCCTTCGAGCTTTCTGGTGCCGTCGATCTGTTTTTCACCGTTTCTAGAAAATTTGCGGCCATCATGCCTTCAAACGCTGCTTTTTCTCCATTCCCTTTATCTTCTACTCATGGAATTCCAATATGTAGGATCTTCTCATTCTGTGCTCCGTCTCTTTTAATCCCTCACTCACATTATCCACCTCCTTTTCTCTCCTTTTGCTGCATTCTTTATATGCAACTGCTGGCCCACGAATTCTCTACCCAGCTGGTGACCATTCACTAAATTTCATATTTTGAAATTATGTCCACTTCTAGAAGTTCCATATGTTCTTCTCCCAGATCTCTCTCTTCATCCCTACTTCTTTTATATGCTCCCCTTTGTGACTTTGTCCTTTTTTTTTTTTTTAAGTTTTATTTATTTATTTGTCAGAGAGATAGAGAGAGAGAGAGAGAGAGAGCACAAGCAGGGGGAGAAGCAGGCTGCCCGCCGAGCAGGGAGCCCGACGCGGGGCTCGATCCCAGGACCCTGAGATCATGACCCAAGCCGAAGGCACACGCTTAACCGACTGAGCCACCCAGGCGCCCCGTCCTGTCTTTATTTAAACACGTCCCACGTGGCTGCTCTGTGTTCTGTCCCCGGGGGTCCACTTGTGGTGCTCCTTTGGTAACTTGCCTTCTTGTGACTTGGTAAGTTTTGTGTGTCAGCTCATCAGCCGGTCTTACTCTGCCGGGGGTCCTCCTGGTCTCCCTGGGGGAAGCTTTGCTCCACATTGAGTTTGCTTTTGCTCCTGCTAAGAGCAGAGGGCTCCCCAAACCAGGACCATCTCCCCACCCGCCCCCCTGAGAGTTTTTCCTCACAAAAGATACAAGCTCCCATCTTCCCCATCCCTAGATCCCAAAGGTCACTATCAGCGTGAGGCCAAAGCTCCAGAGGACACTGGCCTTGGGACTCCCCAAGCAAGCAGCCCTCAGGCCAGCTCACTGACTCTCTCCCGCCAACGCCATGGCCTCTGGGTTTCGCCCTCCAGCTCCCTCTGCTGGAACCCAAGCCCCCAGCCCCCGTATTCCCTCTCCCTCCTTTATCTTTCTTCATAGCATGAGGCACCACTAATGATATCATACTGATTTGTTAAATGGCTTATTGGATGCCCCCCCTCCCATGTGGGATCACCTGTGCAGTATCTGGATGGGAGAAGTGCCCCCACAATTACGTGATGCATCAGTGAATGAATGAGGCATTGCCCGCCCCCCACATGCTCTCAGGCTGACAGGTGAGACAAAGCAGGAGACAGAAAGCCATGGGGGAGGGAGGGCTCGTGGAGCCGAGAGAAGACCCCACCCTAGATGCTGGAGGTCAGGGGCAGCTTCCTAGTCCAGACACAGGAGGTCGGGGAAGGGTACAAAGCGGAGAGCTTAAGGTTGTGTTGTCATCTTTCCACAAATGAGAGGCCTGAGGGACGGTGTTCCAGGCGAAGAGAACAGCTTTTGCCGAGGCCTGGAGGAGAGAAAGAACCTGCCAGAGGAACGTGGTTTAGCGTGGCGGCTGTGAGAAGGATGAGGAAGGAGCGGTGGGCGATGGGCCGGAGCAGGGGCCCTTTCGAGCTCCTGTGGGGAGTCTGGCAGTGAGGAGGGACAGAGCGTGGAAGGGGGTGGGCAGGGAAGGGTGTGATCAGGCTGCAGGGTGGAAATTCCCTCTGGCTTCTGAGGGAAGGGGGGACTAGGAATGGGGAGGCGGGGAGGCCAGGGAAGAGGCTCTGCGGTGCTGGAGGCTGGGCCAAGGTTGATCCCACGGTAGGGGCGCAGCACAAGGCAGACCCCTCAAGCACCCTATTGGTGACCTGGGCTGGAAAGGGGAGCACTGGGGAGGAGCCTGGCGCTGTCAGCCTGAATGTGAGGGCTTGTTCAATTGACAGAAGGGCTCCCCAGTCAGCACTTATGGGGTTCCTTTGAAGGGTAAAGAGTACACACCCTGGACGCCCACACCGATGCTCCTTTACAGTAGGGTTGTCAGGGGCGTCTGGCTGGCTTCGTTGGTTGAGCGTCTGACTTTGGCTTGTGTCATGATCTCGGGGCTCCCGGATCGAGCCCCACATCGAGCCGCATCAGGCTCTGCACTCAGAGGGAAATCTGCTTGTCCCTCTCCCTTTCCCTCTGGCCCACCCCTGCCCCAGCTCATGCTCTGTCTGTCTGTCTCTCTCTCTCTCTCTAAAATAAATAAAATCTTTTTTAAAAAATAAATAATAGGTTTGCCAGGCAGCAAAAGAAAGGGTTAGAAAAGGGGCACCTGGGTGGCTCAGTAGATTAAGCGTCTGCCTTGGGCCTGATCAGGTCATGATCCTGGGGTCCTGGGATCGAGCTCCCCCTCCTGTCAAGCTCCCTGCTCAGCAGGGAGACTGCTCCCCCCCTTCTCCCTCTGCCCCTCCCCACCCCACCCCCGCTCATGTACATGCTCTCTCTCTCTCAAATAAATAAAATCTTTAAAAAAAAAAAAAGGAAAGGGGGGAAAAAGACAAGTATAGGATGCCCAGTTAAATTTGAACTTCAGATAAACAATGAATAATTTTTTAGTATATGTCTCCCAAATTTAGCATACTGTATTTTAACTGGCAACCCTGCTTTCAATCCCCACCCCATCATATGCACACACTACGCCTTTCTGATACAGCAGCAACTAAACAACACAGAAACCTCTAGTACGTGGCTCCCCTGGCGTCCATTTGTCCTCCTACCCGTTCCATCTTCCCACTGGTCTGCAAGCCCCCCAAGAACTGGGCCCAGTGCCCAGTGCCCAGGCTAGGCCAGGCCAGGACGCTCTGGGAGTGACGAGAGGGCAGGGAGTCCCAGCAGGTCTCCCACACCCCTGTCCGTCCCCCGTACCCATTTCTGGGAAGTGACCCCTGCCTAGAGCCCGGACCCGCATGGTGCTCAGGGCCACAAGCCTGGCCCTATTTCCTGGAACTACCAGAACCATCCCTTGTTACTGTGGCCACATCCTCCCTTGGGTGGCCCTGGGCTTGGTAGAGTCTAAGAAGCTGGGCCTGAACCAGTGGGGTGGGCCAAGTCACAGGCAAGGCCCAGCTGGGTCACCACTTCCTGGAGTTGCTCAAGACAGGGGCTGGGACTTCCCATGATCCCCCTGCACCCCATTGGTGTGGGAGCCCCCCCCCCAAGGCCCAAGGAGCCTGGTACCGCTCAGGACAGGGCTTGACCAGGGCAGGGGGGCTTGGATGGGGACTCTCATCACCCTGAAAAAGGTGGGGGACACTCTGTCTGGAGTCAGAGCAGAGGCCACTCTAGGGAAAGTGGGAGAGGAGGTGACAGAGCTGAGGGACAGCAGGCTGTGCCTAGCGAGGAGCTGAGTAGACCCGGGCCTGGAGTTTAGATGGCTTGCCCTCTCAGCCGACTCTGTTAATAATAATAGCAAAAATACAAATGATAACAATAATAATTATTTATTGAGCACTTTCTACTTGCTAAGCCTCTTTCTAAGGATTCTTTTTTTCATCTTCAAAATAGGCACCATGACTGCCCCTATTTTACAGATGGGAAGACTAAGGCACAGAGAGCTTGAGTGGCTTGGCCAGTCATATAGCTAGCAAGTGGCAAGGCCATCTGGGCCCAGGCAGTCTAGCTCCAGAGCCTACAGCCCTTACCAGCAGGCAAAGGGCTCTCTGCATCAGGAAATGAACAGAAGGCAGAGGATTCCCCCAGGAGAAAAGGGATCCAGCTCCAGTACCCTCACCGTGCCATCCAGAGTCATTGTTACCTGTCTGGCGGCCTGGAGCCGGGCCCCGAGAGCCTCCCCGCGCCCACCCCCTCTAGTACCGCATATGCCCAAGACCCCAAGAGCCAGAGCGAAGAGCTGTGTCGGGAAGAGAAAAATGGCTGTTTAAACAGGGCTGGAATCCTTTCTTCCGTCACTCAGCAGGAGCAGTCCTGGAAGCAGGGCCCCTCCATCTGGTGTCACGTCCCCGGACAGGTGACAGTATTTCCAGATCAGATTTGGGAGCCAATGGCTTCCGAGCATAGGCCCACAGCTCCCCCTGGTGTGCAGCCTGGGAATGGAGCTGGCTTCGGGAGCCTTCTCCCTCTGGGTAAGACAGAGAGGTCAAGGGCAATGGTGATTCTCTATAACGGGAGTCTGAGCTTGACGGTGCAAGACCCGCAGCGCCCAGACCAGCACCACCAGGTTAAAAAGGGACGTGAGGCCACCATAGCCCATGACCAAGATGTTGTGCACCCAGGAGTTCTGCACCCAGCATCTGCAGGTGAGGGGTGAAGTGCCAGGGTTGGCGTGGCTCCCCAGGCCGGGGAGTGGGGGGCAGGGAGGTAGGTGGGGAGACCCCAGTGTCTGGGCCTATGAACGGGCTCCTGAACCTCGTCCATACCCTCACACCTACCAGGGCCAATTCAAACCTACCCAATTATCATATGGCCAGGCCACGGGCCCAGCTGGCTCAGGTGGAGGGGAAAGAGGTTCTGCCATCCTATCCCCACGAAGAGAGGGGAGGCAGAGCAACACCCTGCGCTCTGGGCCTGGGGAAGCCATGGAGGTCGAGAAGCCTGCCTGGAGGCCTCAGTGGCCTCTGGTGCCCAGCAGCTGGCCTGCCAGCTTCTCTGGGGGAGGCCGGAGTCTGGGGCTGCAGGCGGCCAGAGAGGCCACGGCTTCTAGGCGAGGAGACCCAGCCTACTGCATCGTCTGGGAGGAGCTGAATGCCTCCATCTCCGCCTCCACCTCTGCCTCGGAGCGGCACCTCTGGGAGCAGAACCACAGGAAGAGGAAGAAACCTGTAAGCGAAAAACGAAATCAGTGGGAGACTGGAACGAGCGATGTGGGGCCTCACCAGAATCTAGGGACTTCCTCAGTGGGGCTGAGCTGGGCTTCCCTAAAGCCCAGGAGTGATTCTCAGAGTCCCTCACTGTTGCAAGCCAGGAGGGGCAGAGCACAGAAGCTGGACAACCAGTTGTCAGGAGGCCAAAGGACGCCTTTGTGCAAATTAGGAGGACATGCCCCTTCCTGTGGACAGAAGGAGCCCCAAACCAGCTTGGCGGGGAGCGAGGCGACGGGGGGGGGGGCTCGATTTCAGCCCCTGACCTGCCCCCTTGACCTGAAGCCTTGAGCAGTCAACATCTGACCGGCCGAACCCCACCCCCAGGGCTTCCTGCACGCCTCCCGTGGGCCCTACCGTAGAGTGAGTTGAAGGTGGTGAAGAGGAAGAGCTGGGGCAGCAGGAAGACGCCAAAGGAGAAGAAAGCCAAGGCCCAGGTGGTGCCTAGAAGCACGGTGAGGCCCAGCACGGTGAAGATGTCCCGGCAGGCCCGCGTGTTTGGCACCTTGTCCTGGGCCCGCAGCCGGTGCAAGACCCGCAGCGCCCAGACCAGCACCACCAGGTTAAAAAGGGACGTGAGGCCACCGTAGCCCATGACCAAGATGTTGTGCACCCAGGGGTTCCGCACCCAGCATCTGCAGGGGAGGGGTGAAGTGTCAGGGTTGGCGTGGCTCCCCAGGCCGGGGGGTGGGGGGGCAGGGAGGTGGGTGGGGAGACCCCGGTCTCTGGGCCTATGGACGGGCTCCTGAACCTGGCCCCGTCTCCCAGCCCAGACCCATTGTTTCTTGTCTGACCACACGTGTGGTGAAGTTCTGGGCCCGGCTTTCCAGCCAGGCCACCCTGGCCTGAAGCCCCCCATGTTCTCCTTTCCGGCCACACGGGGCTCTCTCATGCCTTTACCCACCTGAAAACTCTTCCTCTCCTCCCTTCTCCGTCCTGCCTCTCTCCCCTTCCATGGCCAGCCTAGCTGCCCACTTGTCCAATACTCTATCAGATCCCTGGCCCGGGGTCCTCTTTCCTGGAAACTTCTCCCCCACCGCAAGGTCAACACCATCTCACCACCATCTCTGTGCAATGGGCGCCCTACCCCAGGACCCCTCCCCACCTAGAAGGGGCCCACACTCTACGCTCCAAGCAGTGAACAGCTGTGGCACCTCGGGGCGGCTTGGTGGAGGGGTGCGGACCGAGGAGGAGAGTGAGCAGCAGGAAGATGCCACCAAGGGACGAGGAAAGAGCAGAGGCCTGGCAGTGGCCCCAGCCCTGCTCCTAGACCCTCCCCAAGGTCTTCACGCCCTTTGTGTCCCCAAGACACCCAGTCAGGCACCGGGTCATATGGTTGGTTTCCGCGGATGAGCCCATTTGCTCCTCATAAGGACCCTACGAGGCAGGTGCATAGTCATTCCCGCCCTGCAGAGGAGGAAACTGAGGCTCGGGCTTAGGAGCACACACTAGTCAGAGGCAAGGGTGGGACTTGAAGCCCCACGCTCCGAGGCCAGAGCCTGTGCCCCTGTCACAGCCCCCTGCTTGGGCCCTCGCCGCGAGCTCCTGCCTCGGCAGCCACAAGGGGCCTTGAACATTATTTGGGGGATTTATCCAAGGGGCTGAGTGTGCTCATGGATCATTCCTTTTCACTGCTACGTAACCATCCGGCAGGCGTGGCTCTATCGTGATTTATTAACCGCTGTCCTGCCGGTGGGCATTGGAGTTCCTTTCCAGGGTTTGGTTAGTGCTGTCTGTGTTCAGGAACACGAATAGACGTCCTAAGGGCTTTTTAAATGCAGGAGAATAAAAGTCACAAAACCCTGGGGGAGAGGGAGAGGGAGGGAGACTCTGAGAAGTGGGTTCTTAGAGTGGGGTACTCCCTGACAGCCCAGCAACACTGTGCTTCCCGCCCCTGCCCAGTCCTCCAGCCCCTGGCACGCAGTATATAAAAACTACACAAAAAAAAAGAAAAAGAAAAAAAAAAAAACTACATGGTTAAGGGAGCCCGAAGTCACACTTCCTCTGAGAAAGCAGCCCAACTCCCACAGTGAGAGGAACGAACCCCAACCCGCCTCGCTTCCTGGAGGCTGGGAGGGGCAGTGGGGGGGCCAGGCTCTGGAGCCAGCCTGCCTGTGGCCAAGTCCCAGCTCTGCCATGGACCACCTGGGTTTCCTTGGATGGGGTTCTTCAGCTGCCCGTGCCTCAGTTTCCCTAACCGTAAACAGAGGCTGACAATAGGACCTCCTCCTCGCTGCGAGGTTTAAACAGAAGATGGGTCTACAGGGGTTCGTTCAGCTATTCTCCCTATGTTGGCCATGAGAACCTTCGTAACAAGAAAAAGATAAATGTCAGGGCACAGGAAGAGGCAGCCGAGTCTGTCGTGCAGACCCCCCAGGCCGCCCGACACACACACACACACACACACACACACGCACGCACACACACCCCGAGCCCTGTCCCTGGGATGTCCCAGCCCCCGCAGCACTCTCTCTGACTAGGAGGGTCTGAGGGCTGGCAGTGCTATGCCAACCACAGGTCAGGAGCAGCAGAAGCCTGAGCGAGCACAGCAAGGTTCAGGGAAGGGAGGGCAGAGTCAGGCACAGGCTGAGCTCCCTGCGCAGGGTCGGAGAGCAGGAGGGGGCGCTGGGCCGACCGCTGTGCTCTGCCAGGAGGCAGAGGTGCTGCTGCCCTGGCCTTGGAGGCTCATGAGCAGGCACCAGAGTTCATGCCGGGGCTCCCGAGACGTAGGCAGCCTAGAACAAGAGCCTGCCTTTGCAGGGGATCCAGCAGAAGGGGTATGGCAAAGCCCCCTGGAAATCACCCCTTCTCTGAGCCATGGCCCCCTCCTTGCCCCACAGCCAGGGCCCTGCCTACAAGGACACCCTGTTCAGAGCCCCTGGGCCCTTCTGCCAGAGCCAGGGAGCCTGCCACAGCCCTGAGAGCACTCACATGGACATGTTCTGGAAGCCTGTGCCATTTCCCTGGCTGTCGGAGAGTGGAATGGCATGGGGTCCATACACTGAGTTCTTGACAGCAAGAAGGAACAGTACCAGGAGGGCCGGGACTCCTGAGAGGTGAGACAGAGGCTCAGCACATGTCAGGGGACCCCGAAAAGGGCTGGTCATGCTAAAACAGAATTCCACTGAGCAAGCAGGGAGGGGAAGGGACTGTTCAGAGCCCCCAGCCTCTGCCATACGGTCCAGCTTCAGAGCAGTTAGCCTGGAGGTCTTAGAAGAGGCTGCTCTCCGAGGTGGTGTTAGTGAGGGCTCTAGGGTGGGATGGTAGTGGCAGTGGTGGTGGTGCCAGAGACAGTGGGGAAGATGAGGATGAGGGTGGTGGTGACAATGGAGGCGGTGGTGAAGGTGATGGTGGAGTCAGAGGTAGAAGCAGTAGTGGTGGTGTTGCTGGTGGTGTTGGAGGTAGACATGGTAGTGATAATGGCAGAAGTGATGGTGGTGTTGGAGGTGGTAGTGATGGTGGAAGTGTTGGAAGTGA